TGAAAAGCGCTGTGGAGCCCGGGGTCGCCAAAGTGGGCCTCCCCTGTACACAGGGGAGAGTGCACCTAAGCTTCCCACATTGCACACTATATAAATATGTACTGGTGCCATGTTTAAAATGTTAATACAATTCCAGTGGTTTCATCTCCACCCATGGTTGGGGGCAGACACAGATTCCAGTCTCCAACGCCGCCGAGGCCTCCTTGGTGCAGATGCTGTTGGCATGCTCCGCACAGGTAGACAGGGTGGACTGGGACGACTTGGAGTGCGAAGAGGACCAACGACTTCTGGCCCCAGCAAAGGCATGCGAAGCCAGTTTTCCCGACCATAAAATCATGTACATGATACCGACCCTCCAAGCAAGCCTCACTTCGTTCGGTTGCGATGCCTTGCGTCTCACACCACTTTGTCGGGACCCGAGAAAGGCGTGCTCGATGAATCTCAGCGGCTCAGGTGGATGGAGCCAATCTGCAGCTCACCCAGCTTGCAACTCTACGAGGCTGCGCAGGGATGCCCAGAACACAAGCCAGGGAGCTCGCTGTGCCTCTTCGTATCACCACGGGAAGGATCACAGTGGCAATCATTCGACCACTCTAATGTCTTATTCTAGGAGCAGCACATCACAGCTTTTACATGCAAAATTAGTTCATCATCATACATACCCCCTGCTTACCTGCTAGCCTCTCGTCAACCACTCCTATCTCAAGTTAGAGTCTAGGTTGCACCCTTTTTCGCCCGGAGTTTTTATGTTGACTCTTGGAGGCCAGCAGATGAGCGACAAGTGCGCGCTGTTCCCACCCTACAATAGCTGGGCCATTTTGTTGGTCCAATTCCCTGTGCAAGAGCAAAGAATATACCGCATCCATGCCAAGGCTTCCGCACTGCACGTGCTGCTGATGTACAAGGCCAACCCCGAGGCCGCGCTAGATCATCTTGGAACTCCAAAAGAAAGAACTTCCACAGCGCACCAAACCTTGCAAGCCACGTAGTCAGTGCATTAACATGCATTAACCTGGTTTGCACCATGGGTGCATTCCATGCTGCATTCCATGGTCCAAAGCCTGGGAGGTCGTGGATGAACAGGGTCAGTCCTTGCTTCACCTGGCGGCGAGCAAAGGCACATGGATCATATGGGTCTTGGAGAGTTCGGGCACTCGTGTCCTTTTGCACCCCAGACCCCAGATGTAGAGTTCCAAGGCATTTCAGGATGGAGTGAGTTGCATAATTGTGGATATCGGTCGTTCTCCGTTGTCAGCAATGACAGCCATCACTAGGGGATACAGGATAACGGTACTCATGCATATCAAACTGTCAAGGTGTTTAATGTGTTTTGAGTTTGCTATATTTATCCGCTAGAGAATTGTACTTGGGTATAGTGTTGTATTGTTTTTGTATAATGTAGAGGGATTGGCAGGTAAGATAATACGGTAAGGCTTGGAAACAGTAGTTTTGTGCGCCAATGCCAATGACTTTCCGTTTTAGTGTTGCGTTGCTTTAGTACTGTTTTGCTGGCTGTATGTTTCTTGTATTGTATTTTCTTGAGTTTCGGTTTGGTTTTGTTTCACAACCTGGCTGTTCTGTTCATTCATGTTTTGGGACGCTTCTCCCTTGTTTGTGGCTGTGATGTAGCTGTGTGACCTCTCTTTCTATGTTGCTGCCGGTTGCAGACACGGATGCTGTTGGTTCCACTTCTTCTTGCAACCCTGAAGCGCACAAGGTCAGCTCAGGCTGCATTTGACTTGGTCGGTGTTGTAGATGCAATGAATGGATGCGCTACCTGCAGGCCACTTGCCCGTGCTCAAGCTTTTGCTGAAGCCTTTAACGCCGTTACCAAAGGTCCCACAGGACTGTGACCAAGCAGCCAAGCAGAATCTCAGTTTCGTGTTGGTTCTGTACTTATGTTGGTTCCAATCGGTCAACAATGGCCATTGCGTAGGCGCAGCTATGGCATGCCGTGGCCACTTTCATAGCATTGGTTGCCAGTTTGTCAACCAAAAACGCTTCCCTCGTATGGTTCGCTTCTGAAAGTCGAATTCGAGCCAGCATGAAACAACCTGAGATGTTCGACGTTGTCCTTCTTCTTGCGTGTAGAATTGTCGTTGATTTTTGTTGCCAAGAATATTATGTTTGTTGCAGGAACAGTTGCTGGAGACGCGGCTGAAGAAGGTGACTGGAGATCGGCTGCAGGTAGCGAAGCTCAGCTTGCTTTCTCGAGCTTTTCCTCATGCCTCTTGATGAATCTGCGAATCTTGGAAATGGTTTGTGTTTACATTTAGAATCTCGATGGCATGTGTCATTGTTGTTTATTGGCATATGAGTTGTGCATGGTCTTGCTGTCTCAACGGCAAGACTGAAGAGGCTGGCTCAAACAAGTGCTGATCATCAATTCCAGCCAATGGTGCGGCCTATGATTCGTATCGTGACATCATTGGACGCAAACCGGATGGCCAAAATGGATAAATCGTCTTTAGATCCAAGTGACTCTCATGTTAAAGTTGCACGAAAGCTTTCCAGAATTTTCAGCACCGTATGCCCCGCTTACTTTTAGCTGTGATTGACCGTCATCGGACGTCAAAAATGGATCCTGCTGACCTTCAAAAGCTGCAGCACTTTGACAGCGTGCTGCAGGGCCTGCAAAGTGGTCAGTGCAGTGTGCAGGATGCAGAAGCGACTTTGGCCGACTTCCAAGCGCTCTTGGAAGAAGCTGCCTGTTTTTGAAAACATCGACCTGGACCGAACCTTTTGAACACGTTAGCACCAGGAAAGCTCACAATACTCTCGCCTGATGACACGGCCTTGCAGGGTGACACCTGTTTGCACACATGTCCTGAACCGCACGCGGAACCCGGCAAAGCCTTTGGAGGGGGCGGGTGCAACAAGACGGGCCGTTTCGAGAGCCGAGTCGTACTGAGGTTCGCCATGCTCCAAGAGCTCACTGGGAAGACTTCCAAAAGCGCCTGGAGACTCATCGACAAGCGCTGGAAGGGTGCCGAAGTAGTGGCCTACGAGAGGATCTCCTGGGTGGAGCCCGGAAACGTGGCCGGGTATCCTAGTATCAGCAAGAGCTTCAGTTGTTTTGAAGGCAAATTGTTCAACACTGGATATCACGGTGCGATCAGTTGTTGGATGTTTTTATCAGATACTTGCTCGTCCTTGTTTCCCTTCTCGAAAAGCAAGTTGACTCTGATGTTGAGCTATGATTGATTGCAAGGATTGCAGCATATTATAAATCTTCAAATTGCGTCACAACCAGCTTCTTGCTGTGGAAGGTGCTCTTTACAGCCCATATTGCAGCAACGTGTGTTTCTGTAAGCATGTGCAAACAGGCCACACACAGTCTACTGTACTTCAACTTCGCTTTCCTCCTCATCACCTCATCCTTTGGTGTGATAGATAATGGTATACTGTAGATAAATATGGGTAACACAATTTTTACATCAGGGTGGATGTATATACTACAGTGTCCCTTCTCGCTGTCCTTCATGTTTCGAATGTTGCGTTTATTCAAAAACTGCCCTAAGGGCAGCCGATGAGAAAGACAAGAGTCGAACCCATTGAACCATGCAAGCGCTTGATTCACAAATTGAGGCAAGGAGCTGAAGATGAAGACACAAGAGGAAGCCGAACACAACGAGGTGTTGGAATTGAAGAACGCTCGAGATCAGATGCGCAACCAGCTGGATCGCCTCTTGGAACGAACTGACGAAAATGATGCCACACAAAACTTGTTTTTGGGAACCTTTGCGCAGATCTTTCGCAGCAAAACAAAAGTGTTTTGCTCAATTCTGCGAGTGAAGGAGGCACAAACATCCCTAAGCCATCGGTTGCAAAGGTTTTGCTGCATGTTTTCTTGCCCACTGCCTTTTTGAGGTATGCATTACGTCAATGAAAACCTTCAGGACTCCGCTCGGAGAACCAGTGCTGTTGGCACTGCAAGCAAGCACCAACTATTGGCCTTCAGCACCACGTGCAAGTAAAATTCAATTCTCATGTCTCATACCTCCCACAAACTTCGGCATGTTGTAGGGGCGGCCCTTGCGTTGTGGCTGACCCCATGACTGTTGTTTGCCCTGGCACAGGATTCTAGCCGCACAATTGGGAAGACGAAGGATGCCATGCAGGAATACGATAGCAAACTGGCGAGCGCAGCCAAGGCACTAGGCCAATTGAAAAGACACTTGTATATTGGAATTGGGAACGGGGCTTGGGCTTGGGTGTTGGGGTTGCACACTATACAAGCCATGGAAATCCATGGAAGCATTCCTAAAGAGCACAAAACAGTTCAGTGTGCTGATGCTTGTCAAATACTGGTACAGTACGTGTGGAACGGGAACAGCTAGATTGTCCTGCTTATTTTTCGACCATATCGATTAGTATTGATTTGCATAATGCCGGTGAGGCAAGGCTTGATTCTTTCTAAAGACGTTTCAAATATCTCAAGGGGCTTCCCGTACCAACAAGATTGACTAGGCTCAAAGGCCTATAATAGTGATGTTGAAGAACAATCACAAAACATCACAGAAAAATGCAACGCTTTTGAACATTTTGCGCAGACTTGTTGAACATGCGAGGAAAGACCGAAGAGGATTCCAGATACATTTGGTGGTCTTTCTACTTCTTCATAGGGGTGGTTGCCTACATTGCTGCTTTGTCAAACGTGGCCAGAATGTTTGGATTTGTTGTTTTTGTATGATAAAGTTGCCGGCATCGCCTCAACAATCATTGCAATCATTAACAATCCTGTTGTCAGGGTGATGGCAGTTGAGGTCTTGCGACGGCTTAAAGTCTTCAAGATGATCTACTATGGCTTTCCGGCAGAAAGTTTGACCTTACGCTTTCCGTTTTTGACCTTGAAGACCAGCTCATTTGTTGCGCCAAACCTCTTCCCCTAACAAGAGAGAGAGAGAGAGACCACGCGCCAAGGTATCTCCTTTGGGATGTGGTCGACCGGCAGCGTGCTCGAAGCTGTGCAGTCCACCTCCAACGCTCTGTTTGGCGAGCCTCAGCCCGCTGAAACAGAGCGGTGAGAGCAAAAGAAAGCCGTGCACCAGCGTGGGCCCACTTGGTCAGACATATCAGCATTATCAGCAATCTCCGTGTGAGAAATCGAAGGGTGATTATGCAGGAACTGAACAGGGGCACAAGACCCATCATCTCATTTCCCGAGTGTACCGGATTTCATGTTTGCACTTTCCACTGCGGCCTCCTCGGATGGTTTCATACATTTAGCCTCTGATTTTGGGGATTCATGACTTGCGGCCCTTTTATCACTTTGTGTTGAATAGCAGATCCAGACGTGTAGAAAATCTATCAAAACAGCTCCTTCGTAGCTTGGCAGTGGGTGGCGTGTCTCGCGGCCTCAAGGCATTGGCTGTATCAGATGTCGCTTCCGTGGCAGAGTCTGTCGCGGGAACTCAGTCTCCTTGAGAACTTCGCTTGTAAGCGTCATACTTATGGGTCGCTATAGATGCTATAGGTCATTATAGGCGACCCCAATGGGAAAAGCAATCACGAGTGTAATTCCTAATTTGTGCTCCCTTGACTGCAAGGAGGGGGGTTCCACAGGAACCATGTCCTCACAAGTCTCACCAGCCTGTGGAAGGCGCCACACATGAGGTTGCTTCGGACCAGTCTGGGAGCTCAAACAATGACAGGCTTCGATTGCTGGGGTGTTGCTTCAGTACATCTACACTGATTCAGAAGAACTGACTTTGGCTTGAGATGATCATGATATCCCAAGATGGGATCCAATTGCTATGGGGAATCGATAAACTCATATTACTGTAGATCATATTAGTAATACAATTATATATGTCATATAGATTTATAGGAAGGATGGCATGAATGACGGCACGGGAATGATTCGAAGGCATGTGTTTATCTACTTCCGTTCATTCACATTTTGTGTTTTCCCTCAGATCGCAGGCCTGCTTCTCCAAGCAAGATCTCATCCCCGACGTGGGGCGCTTGGTTTTTCTACCTCCACGATTGTAAGGGGGGATTTCGGGGGTCCGCTGGGGAGTTGCAGGTTTTTTCAACTCTATCAGTGCTGTATGTTGGATGTGTTGCTTGCAACTTTGGGAAAGGGCCATCTCATCTCAGCGCTGGATCTCAACTTCAAGATAGCATTCAAGCAAAGATTGCAAAACCAAGGAAGACTGATGGACATGTTGTAGAGATGCGTAGTCATGTACCACTACACACTTTGGTTTGAGTCTCGACTGTCATTGGCCGTTGCGAGATAATCAGATATGCCCACAGGAAAGCTTGGAAGGAACAGCAGTTGAAATTTCGTACCACGATTTTTTATAAGACCATCCGGAACAAACCACAACTACACCACTACCATCACGTACCACTACCACTACTATCCGACTGTCGAGGCGAATTATACTTAATCAAATTACTGTATACATTAGGACGCCTACTCCTACTACCCACTCCCACTGCCACACACTACTACAACAATCACCATTGCTACAACTGCTACCTAAACCTCCATCCAGTTTGACGCTAGCTTCTCATGCAACAGTGCGTCGTCTGCTGCGAGCACCTAAAGGATTTAGCACATGCGACGACGTGAGTGTCCCCGTCGTCCATTCAGCGATGTAACGCACCGCCTGTCGCCCGTGGTCGCCCCTGGCTTCGTCCCATGTGGTGCCAACTGGCGGCTGATGTGACCCGTGCGACGGGCGTGACCCGACTGCTACGGTTGGGTCAGACACGAGGCAATGTGACTGCCAAGATTACACGGCGTAGGAAGGAGTTCGAAGCGAAGACCTACCCAAGGAGAGGTGTCATGAAATGAGCAATCACTACGGAGGATTCTTCCAAGCCATGCTAGCAAGCCAACTAATATCACAGAGGACTTGCTTCCAGGCAAATGCAGGCAAACATTTTTGTAGCTATGCCGTTCGTCAGGAGCTCTACAAACGAGCCAGACCAACTGCCTCGACGAGGACGCCGTGGTGGTGAGATGCAAGATCCACAGAGGGGCGTGGCGAAACGGGATGGCACCAATGTTGCACAGAGGAAGTGGTTTGAAGATCGGAAAGCGCCAATCGACAAGGACTTTGTGGCCAAGCTACAAGACTCGGCGAGCCACAAAGGAGCTGCTGCGATGCAGGAAGTCTTTGATCAGCACTTGGCAGCAGTGGACGCCCTGAAAGTGTCGATGCCCGCAGCCGACGAGTTTCGACTTCCGCACATCCGGCGCCTCGCGGCCACCCCCAAGCGAAATCCAGTCCACGAGGCAGCTGTTTCAGCTCCTCCCACGCATGTGCCGCAACAAGAAACGCCTGAGTTCGTCCAGAGCGCGCTGGTCAATCGCCGCAGGCGTGGGCGTTTCATGGGCCACCGGACCAGACCAAGTGCCCCGTCTCATCGACCCATGTCACTCGGAGGCCGTGCAGCATGGCTCAAAGAATCGCGCGACTGGGAGGACTCAAAAGTCGGTGCTTAGCTCACGGGTTGAAGAATGTTGATCGTGAAATCGTTTTTTTTCCTTTTAGCCCACTCCTAGTTGAGTAAGGGAGTAGTTCGCTCCTAGCTACTTAAGCGTCTATAGTAATAGCTCACACATGCTCACACTAATGATTTGGTTCCTAGATTGTTAGGTTAGGGAAACTTACGAGGCCCGATATAATTCTAATACAGTTCTACTTAATAATTAATAATTACTACTTAGTTTGAGTGAGCATTCTAACGTCCAGAGCGTGCTGCAGCATAGAAAGGCATCCTTTTACCATTTATGCACGGAACTTGCGGATATCATCGGGTGAGGAAGGTGGGGAGACCTAGTAAACCCTCTGTGCAGGATGAAGAGGAGGATCTTGAGGACCAACCCCCTCTAAGCAACGGACCCTGGGAGATCGGTGGGAAGGAACCGCGTGGAAAGATCGCTGGCACAGAGAAACACCTTGAGGACGAGGCAGCGAGTGACTCGGAAAGGTCGGATGCTGATGAAGCCATCATGGAACCCATGGAGCCATTGCGTACATCGGAGCTGTCCGAATTGTGGAGCTCCTTGGGGGCCTCCTTCGTGGAACACAACCGTTGTGTTGTACCAAGCAACTTTACTCATCCGGATGAATTGGCCGGTGCCACCTTGGATGCGTATTATCACACCAGGGCATCAGCATCACTATTTGATTTGTCCTTTAAGGTGTGTTTACAGATCTCCGGTGCAGATCGGGAGTTCGCAGCAGACCAGTTCTTAACCTGCAATCTTCGAGCGATGCGGAGCGGTGATGTTCAATACGCGTGCATTTTGGATAGCAAAGGGCTTATCCTTGATGATGCCTTTGTTCTTCTTGAAGATGACGCGGTGACGATCCTCACTTCTGGATGCCGTTCAAAGCAATTGGCGGACTACATCGGACAGTATGTCGTTTATATCAGACGCTCTGGTGCTGATGTGTCATTTAGGATCTCTGACGTCAGTGTTTTGGGACTTCAGGGCCCAGAGTCTCGCAAAGCCTTGGTAAGCACACTTGTCAACACCTTGCCGGACATGCAGCTGATCACCTTGTCGGAAGAAATACCCTTGGCCCCGAGCTTGTTGCACCAAATGCCCTACATGAGCGCCTTGGCTTCGAGGGATTTGAAGGAAAAGGTGGTAATCCTTTGCGCGGGAATGACGGGCGAGGATGGCTTTGAGATCATGGGTTCTTCCGGTCTTTTGACCAAGCTGGCTGGAGCCCTTCTCTCCTCTGAGCTGGTGAGACCTGCTGGGCTTTTTTGCTTAGACATGCTGCGGATGGAGGCTGGGCTACCACGAGTAGGGGCGGACATCAATGTGGGAATGTCTACACCCGTCAGGTGCGCCTTGTCTTGGACACTGGACCAATCCAAGATGCGCAACTTGGAGTGAGATCTTTGACACCTTTCAGGGTTCCTGCAATTCCTGCCTCGAATTGTCGATAATTGTGGGTAATGAGTGGTGGTAGGGTCGACACAATGAAGCATGTTTGACAAGCCCTTACTGCTGGGTTGCCTGGAGGGCTTGACGGTTGGCATGTGTTCAGTGTCGGCCAAGGCAGTCACCTAATGTTTGGATGGTACAAGAACTTCTTCCAGTTGGCCAAGGGCCCGATCAAACGTCGAGTCGGACTTTTGCTGGATGGCCCAGCGCACGCGGGCTGCCTGATCCTGTCCAACCCACATCGGCAAGTCGTTGGATGGATTACTTCCACGGCTTGGAGCCCTGCACTCGCCTGTCGGATTGCTCAGGCCTATGTGCGGCCAGAGTATGCAAAGACCAACAAACATGTGCTGGTCACTGTGCCGTACAGCTTGCCCACACACAAGATGACCAGGAAGGCAATCAGGAGGCCCTGAACTTATCTCACAAAAAGTATCAAAAAGGCATCATGATGTTTAAAGGGCTGATCAAGCTTGCGAAACAAACTAAGCAATTGAATCTGGCCATACTCGAGGTGGACTCATGCCGGTGCATTCCGCTCGAGCTATAGACGCTTGGTGGCCGCTTGCGTCGCCTCGTTGCCCTTTGTGCCCCACCGTTATCCTGAGCCACCGCATCAGCGTCGAGCGGCCGCACGGCTGAAGAGCTTCACAGACGCATCGGCTGCGGCCGTTTCGGGTCAAAGCCGAAGCCGACGACAACAGAGCGCTTCAACCGGTGAAGATCTACAAGAACCCTACGAACATGCCTCAAAGCCTTGGAAGAGTTAGCCTCGAAGCCTTGGAAGAGAAAAGATCGAAACGGCTGCGTGTGGGGCTGGGTTTCGGGTGCAATTTGGGACATTTTCTAGTGCTAAATCGGCCTCACGCCCCAGGCGCAGCGCCCCACAGCCACACCAAGCACCGTACGCCCAAATGTTTCACTACAACTGCAGGCCATCCTGCCCTAGACCTCTCCACCAGTCTCAGCTTTCAAGGAAGGGCCGGTCCTCAAGGAGGCTGAACAGTGGAGGGGAGAAGGCTGGAGCTCATTGAGCCGGCAGATTGACATCGCAGGGCAAATGTAGGACAATTCTGGGAAGATGTCCAGTGATTAGCAATCCTAGCTGTCCTGCTGATTGGAATTGTTTTACTCCGGTGGCCTCGCTGGTAGGTAGTTCAAAATGTGCTACTGATTGATGGCTATTTTGGAGTCATCCAGTTTTCACAGTTAGGACGTTCTTCTGAGAGTCAGTCTTCAAAATCTTCCGGAATGAGGATGAAGCCACCAAGCACCTTCAACGCTGGGCTTTATGGTTTGACTGTGCCGCAGATGTTTTCTTATCAAAATTGGGTCGAAGATTGTAGAAGTAGGGCACATGTGCCGAACACTGTGTGAGAGAGAGAGAGAGAACAAATGATTTGATCGACCTATTGGAGGCCAAGAAGAGGCGTCCGAGCACGTGCTCGGCTCAGCTTGGGCTGTATTTGAGGGACATGTTCGGCAAAGAAGAATGGCCAAGACGTTCAAATATGGTGTAAGATTTTTCCCGAACAGCAAAAAGTCAGACAGTCACAGTTGGTATTTGCGTCGCTTTGCTTTGAAGAGCTCAATTTAAGGAGCCTCACCACGGAAGAAAAGATGGCTGCAGGGCCCTTGCTGATGCCATCGCCCCAGAGAAGGACAATGGAACGACATGGAACAACAAGGATTTGTGCATGGCGCTGGTCCCAAGATGTAGTGCAAGAAACGCCAAATTGACAGGAGTGCTTTGCTTAGATTGGGCTCCAGAACTCTAACTCAAAGGTAAGGCCAAAAAGAGCTACACCAATCTCTCTATATATATATATATACACCAGACAAAATCTTCAGCCCAAGCAAAGATGTAAATCAGCCAGATCCCACATAATCATCAGCTTTTATCACCTTTCATTACCTTTCAGCCATCCATGAGATGTGGACTGCCAAGGCTCCTCAAAGCTCGGAAACAAAGAATTGCCTTGGCTTCTTCGACGTTTGGAAGCCCACAGATGGGAGCTGAAACCAGCGGCTCCGGTCGGCCCTGTTGCTCCTGTCCAGTTCTTCGTACAGCTGGAGCTTTTGACCCAGTCTGACCCAGTGACCTATGCAAAATGCACTGACATGGAAGGAAGGGATGAACAGACTTGGAAGAAACAATGAAAAGATTTGATAGCTGACAGCCTTGATCCCATGACCTAAAACATTGAAATAGCAAAGGACGGCAACAATCCAAGAAGCAGCAGAAACAATAAATTGGCATTCATTTGATGCATCAGGCCCACTCCATTCTCTGCAAAGGCACTGAACGAGGAGACTGGGAGTTGGGGAAGTGAACAGCTGCGAGGGCTGGTGAAGTGATCATAGCAGGGAGGATGAAAAGTTGGTGTTTAGTTTGTTCTCTTTCCGGTGGAGTTTTTCGATTCTACCTAGCGGGGACCTCCCATTGAAGATGTGGGAGCGAGGTCTCCAACTGAAAACGATCCAGCTTGATTCATAAAGACAGGCCCGGCTCAAAACGTCTTTCGGAGCAATGGATCCCTATCAGCAAATTGCTGCAGCTCTTAAAGCACAGCTCAAACAGGAGGATGACATCAAGGAAGAGCTTTGCTCCAAAGTTCTGAAGGAGCACCCAGAGTGCGGCGATGCCTTGGGGAAGCTCAAGGAACGTTTCTTTGAAAAGGCGGAAGGGTCTGAAGCTGTGAAGTTCAACGAAGTTCTTCAGTGGCTTCAGACCACAGCTGAAGCGCAACCACAGTTGAGAAAGTCCATTTCCTTGAAGAAGCAGAAGACGGGCGAGTTAGACGAGGACCCAGCTGGAGATCAAGAAGCTCTCAATGTGCGAACAGCAGCAGGATCTCTCATTCTCACCGTGTCCAGGAAGGAGGTGGACTCAATGCTGGTTGCCCAACTTCGCAAGAATGCCGCTGCCTTTGTTCAGTCACCGTCAAAATGTTCTTTAAATATACGGTAGTACAGTAGTGTTAACTGATGTTGCTATATCCATTTCTGTGTAGTATGTTTTTACTGCAAGCTCAACCAAGAACGTTTACCCTATATATATATATGTATATTATATATATATATGTGCACTGGTTAAGTATGCATACATCAAAGTATGCTGTTTACATTATCTCTCAACATGGACTAAGCTACTGGCCCTAAGGGCCAGCGTTTACTTTGCTCGGCTCATTTATCGCCGCCTCTTTCCTTGCTCAGGTCGCCGATCAGTTGGCACGCTGCGTGGATGAGGTGAAGCTGGTGGCTGATGAGAAGCAGCTGCAGAACGATGAGGCTTGCAAGGACACATGTGGCCAAAAATTTGGGGAGAGTGAGAAGCTGTCCAGCACCCCGCCAAAGCGGTGAGAATTGAATCATAAGTTCCCAACCTAGAATCCTGTCGAGTCAGGTTCAAACTCATAGAATCCTGCGATTGAACTCACTAGTCCAGGGTTTTGACCAACTCTTCAGGACATCCTTGGCTCTCGTGACTTCTTGGAGGTGCTGGTGGTGACACAGCAAATCCCTCCGCTGGATCCATCGATCGGGCCACTGCAGCAAATGGATACCTTGAAGCTTGGGCCTTGCATTGGCTCTTGGAGCTGAGGTTTTATGGGCTAACCGCTTCACGTGTGCAGACCGCCCGGTTTTTCTGTCAGAGTGCATTTTTTTCAGCTTAAGGAGTATCAAAAGGTATTGTCCTGCGCTGCAGGTTTGAAGCAGGACCGTAGAAAAAGAAACGGCATGTGCTGAGGAAATTGATGATTATGTCGTCTTCGAGAGAGCATCAGATCGATGCCGCAACTCATTATCGAAAGATTTTAAGTCGCTGGGCTGCATTCTGTGGATTATGGAGAGCGCCAATCTCCAGCAAACAAATGAGTGTGCAACCCCAAAAGAACAAAGGCGCAACAAGGTGTGGGTATGCGACCCAAAACACGGAAAAAGCGAAAGCAAGCAAGTCTTCTTTTGCTGCTGTGCGAACATCGATGCTCTGGTAAATTGCGGTAGCGGCGAAGTGACATGGAAAGCAAGCCAAGCACATGCTCGATCACATCGGGGAAGGAAGGTGTTTCCTTGTCACCTTCATCCGGAGCTTCCGGCGTTCTCGTTGTGCCTTGCGCAGTCCCGACCGACGTGCTTCTTCTTGTCGATCTTCTGTTGTCTCAACTAGGCATAGGTTGCCCTTCTGACGGAACTCTTTCAGATCTGTTGCCATCTCTTTCGTCAGCGGGTCTGCAAGTTGCTTCCATGTAGGAGTCCATCGAAGCTTCAGCACCTGATCCTCCACCAACCTTTTCACCAGGCCGGTCTGTTTCGCTGCCGCCATGCTTCCGGTCTTGTTGACATGGTCGTGAGCTGAGTCCTCCACTGGGGCTGAATCTCCGTTCGGCCGTGGAACATGGCATCGAAGAGGGCTCGATTGTACAAGATCTTGTCTGCAGCCGATGCCATAGCGCATGACTCAGCTGCCAAGCTGGAGCGAACCACTCTGTGCACCTTCGAACTGTGGAACTCGATCAAGCTGGCCTTGCACGGTTTGTGCTCCACCTCAATGCCAGTCAACAGATGGACTTCAGCCTGCTGTGCACTCATCACTTCACTTTTGCCCAGGGAAGCATCAAAGAAGGACACAAACAATGCTTCCTTCTCGACAGGATAGAGTACATTGATTGCCCCTCCCGTCTTGGCAGCTTCCTGCATCTGGCTCAGCACCTGGTTTGCCTGCACCAAATCTTTGCCCTTGGCTCTGGAGACGGTCTGTGCCAAGGTGCTGGTCTTGTACAAGAACTCCGGCATGACCAAATGTGCCGGCCACCTTAGCTGCATGATGAGCCTCCTGTAGGCCGTGAGTTGACTGCCTTGCAAATCCTCCTCCGGCTTGGTGCTCACTTCAGCTGGTTGGATCTTAGAGACATACTCACCCATGTCGTCCACGAAGGTCTTCCCTGTCCGGCGAGTCTTCACGCCTAGGAAGGTGACAAGATTCTGCCACTCCTTGATGTTGAACTTGGAGCTGAGTTGCTTCTGCAGGCTTTTCATGCGAGTTGCTGCAGTGGTCAAAAACCCGTCATCGACGTGCAAGCACAAAATCGCAAGGACCTGCTGTCCTTCCTTCAACACGAAGGTGGCTCGACAAAGCTCCAGCTCAATGAAGTTCAGCTCCTCCAAAAGCTCCTTGGCTCTAAGATACCAAAGCCTTGGTGCTTCCGATAGGCCATAGGCCGACTTGCAGAGCAAAAGGAGTTCATACGGTTTGATGGCTGGCTCATTTCTCACGGGCGGCAAACCTTCTGGCGGCGCCTTGATCACCACTTTCCTTTCAACTGGCTTACCAGATAAGAATGCAGTGCTGGCATCAAAACATGAGGCCTGCCAAGATCTAGTCAAAGCGACAATCTTAGCCAACTGCACTGCTGCCCAGGTGGTAGTCGGTGCATCCGACCTGAATGCTCCAAGATGTGGGTCCTGATGACCTGGCACAACAAATCTTGACTTTGCTTGAAGCCCACCTGTCAAAGCTGCCTTGTTCACCCGCACAATACGGGCAGGAGCTCTGAAAACATCTTTAGGATCCAGCTGGCGAATTTCTTCATCATTCAAGCGCCGCACGACTTTGTTGTCAATCCACGATATCCATTCTTTGCTATCACTTTCGGCAAAGGCTTTCTTCCCGGCCTCATTGAAAAACTTGGGATTGAGCTCTTTGCCATTTGGGCGGTTGATGAGGAGGTATGCTTCATGAAAAGCTTGACGATCTTCCTCCTCTCTCCGCAACTTCAGCCACTCCTCATAGTCTTCAACCCTCACTTCATACACACCATGAGGGAGCTCAACAAAAACATTGCCTTCTTGTCTTTCTTCTTTTCCTTCTCTCAAAAACATAGTCACTCCCCTCCACTGGTGTGGAACTCGTCTTTTGGGCCTCGTCTTCACCTCCATGCTATCTTCTTGACAGATCATGGCCGTGCCTGTTTCTTGTCCAAACATGACGGTGATGCGGCCCTTACCCTCTTTGGGTGGCTTTTGAAGTCTTTTCCGAGGTGCCATATGATACCTCATACTTGTAATGGGCAGGTCGAGGAGCTGTGACATCTTCTGCACTTCTTGCCTGGAAGCCAATTGGTTGGCCTGTTCCTTTTCTGTGATCAGACTCACCATGGTGTAGTGCATCACATTGGCATTGAATCTGTGCCGAATCTCTTCTTCTGTCAGGCCTCCTGATGGCTCCTCGGAGAAGCGTCTTTGCTTCAGGCTCACGGGGACATCATCCTGGAGGAACTCTCTCAATCTCTTCTTTCGTCCTTCTTCTTCCTGCTGACCTCCATGAAGCCATCGGTTGAAGGACTTCTTCATTTCTTCCTCAGCTCTCTTCTTTGCCTCCAGGTCTTCTTGCGCAGGCATCTCAACTGCCTGCTCGCCTTCCTCCTGTGTCACCCGACCTTCTGGTGGCTTCTCTTTCTTCTCTGTCCGGGTCCTCCAAGAGTTCTTCAGTTTCATCTTCTCGGGCTTGATCTTGTCCTTCATGATTGTTCTTTGAACCTTTCTCAAGCCCTTCAGACTCTTCGCAATGTCTTTGGCCCGCAACTTGTTTCTTCCTCCTCTGGTGGGAATGATGATCCCTTCTTGTGGCTTCCAGCCCATCTCCTCTTGCTCTTCATCTTCTGGTGGTGTTGGGACCTTAGTGAGATCTTCGAACTCCCTCTGTTGATCTTTGTCCCATTGCTTCTCCAGGGAGTCAAGCTCCTGGATGCGTCCTCGGAAATCACCACCTTCCAATGATGTGCAAGTCCTCAGATTGGCAGCAGCGACGAGGAGGCAACGACCTCGCCAACTCACATAGTATCTTTCGTGGCTCTCCTTCATCAGAATGATGGCGGGACCTCGCCAGGCACCTCCATCCCGTCTGAAGCGGGATGCTGTGGGCTTCGGTGCGTAGAAGAAGACCATTTCTCCTGGCGTGAATTCCTTCACTTGTCCCCTTGGCCATCGTCGAAGGGCTCGCTTGAGCTTGTCTTGACAGCCTTGTCGAAGTAGAGCCACTCTTGCTGCTGCCCTCATCTCAGCACATCGCTGAACTTCTCCTTCCTGGGTCAATGACTCTCGCAGTGCCAGGTTTCCAGTACCATCTTCTTCAAGGAGATCTGGAAAAAGGGGTGCTCTCCCATAGACCATCTGATAGGGAGTAAAGCCACCTCTTGTGATTGTCTGGTTCTTGCCCTGCACTGCTGCCACCATAGTATCTTTCATCTCAGCTCTTCCTTTGGCCTGATACTGCCAAACCAAAGCGTGCCATGCGTGGCCAAGAAAGCCGCCGTGGCGCTCTGCGAAACCGTGCTGCCATCCTGCCCGGGCTCCAGTGCAGCGAGAATGTATCCCGTGAGCTTCCAGCCAACCCACAAACTCTCCATCGAATTCGCCTCCTTGGTCCATGTAGATGGTGGTTGGAGAGCCATACAAGCTGCACCAGTGTCTGTGGAATTTCCGGGCCACGTACACTGATTTGCGGTTTTGCAGGAGCACGGCAGCATGAAAGGAGGTTGCACTGTCTACCATGCTCAAGGCCACAAAGAGTTTCTGACTGCTGTCATGCATGTACTTGAGATCTATGTCATGTGGACTTCTTTGCCAAAAACGACGGGCCTCACCTGCGGATTCAGCTTGGGATAGCGGCTCGGAGCTGCTGTAGCTTGGCATGTCGGGCACTGATATTCCCCTGCCAGCTCAATGACTTGTTTCGGTGCACCAGCCAAAGAAAGCATGCGAACCAAAGCTGCTGGTGTTGGATGGCCAAGGCGTTGATGAATCTGGATCACCTTCCACTGAGCACTGCCTTTCTTCACAACCTGATCTTCTTCTTCTTCTTGACCTTCTCCTTGTCCTTGCTGCTCTTCGGCTTCTTCCTCCTCCATGAAACCTTCTTCAGGGACTTGACCCCCTTCAACAAAGACTTCTTTTCTCCGTTGACCTCTCAGGTATTCTTCAGCTCCCAACACGACTTCAGTGGCAAAGTCTTTGGTGTAGCCACCTGCGAAAGCTGAGACTGCCATCCACTCACCATCTATGCGAGCTCCTCCCACAACTGGAGTGTGTTCATGACCTCCTTGACAAAGGCGCCTGCAGCGTTCCAAGATCTCAGCTGTACCTTGGAGACGTGTCCTCTTCCGAAGGAAAGCTCCTGCTTCAGGAAGACGCAGCCCATACTGACACATGTCACAGGTTGTGGTTGGCATACCATCGAAAGCTTCTTGTATCAGAGGTTCCTGCCAAGCCAACGATGGTTTTGGATTTTCACCCAACAAAGCACCCCCGCGGCTCCTTTGTCGCAAGCTGGCATCTCTCACGAAACGAAGGAGAGTGCGATTTTCTTCACGCTTGTGTTCCAGCTGAACTCGCTGAAGGGGTGTCTTCCTGCCCAGAGTCTGAAGTGGACTCCAAGGGCCACATGGCCATGCCAGCACCAAAAGATCGGGAGCCACCCGATCAATGTAGTCCAAGGCCTGCTCATAGTCATTGCTGTTCATGAGGTCCCAATTGGGTAGCGACACAGGCTCATGGAAATGCCATCCTCGTGCTGAGGCCATCAATGAAATGGCACAAGTCCATGTGAACACCTCCAAAACTGACCATCGCTTCCGAGCCTTTGGCCGATCGCCAAAATGGCGATTGAAGTGGACACTGGACAACTGATCTTCCTTCTTCTCTTGCTCCTCCTTGAAAACGACTCCAATCTCTTGGACATGATGCCCCAACTTCCTTCGGAGGTGCTTGTTCATCAACTTAGGGCGTCCTTCTCTCACCACCTCTTCTGCCCTCTCCTGAGCATCCTCCTTCTGTTGTTCTTCATCTTCTGAGTCGCTGGACACGGCCTCGATGCCAATCTCATGAGACGAGGAGGACTCCTGGGCTTCTTCACTGGCACTGGTTTCATCTTCCGAACCAGAAACTGGTGGTTCTCCTTCATCAATGACACGAATGCCCAGATCTTCCTGGAGGTGGTCAAACCACTGCTTCATACGTTTCTCACGAAATGCCGTGCCATCTTCAGATCCTTCTTCACTCTCTTGCTCCTCCTTCGACTGATCTTCTTCAGTCATAGTTCCCGGTGCAGCTTCCTCCGTCACGAACGAGAGCGATTGTGGATCTTCTTCTAGGATCTTCTTTCTTCTGATCCCTTCTGTCGACTGCCAAAAGTTCTTGGCTTCTTGTACCTGCTTCTTGTCATAGTCCATGAGGTGGCCATCGGACGTGGAACTCCATTCAACTCCAGCCGTCGTTCCCCAAAACGGAACACTGCCTTCCATCGACTCAACTCTGATGGGCCAATCAGGCCGGGACAGTTGATGGCCTCTCCGTCGACACACGACATCCGAATGATGTCCCAATGGCCATGCACCAGAGCTGGATAGAGACATGCCACCGTGCTCACAACTGGGGCGCCAGCACCAAAGCGATAGACTTCGTGCTCCTGGACTTGGAGGAAGGGCACATCCAGTGCTTGTAGTGCATGTTGGAATGCCTCATGCCACAAGCGGCCACCGACAGAGTTGCGACACCCGGAGTCTGCAATCGCCAAACCTGGCGTCTGAAGATGAGGTGGCAACCGATTCTTGGACATTTCAAAAGCCCCTGCACTTGAGTCATCAAGATACCAAAACTCAGTGACCAGAGCTCGGGCGCCACCAACCAATGCTTCTTGTAGGCCAACCACTTCACCACTATAGTCATCCTTCTTCAGAACTTGGCCCTGCTTGGTCTTGGTGATGCGGCAGCACACTTGGGAAGCGGTAGGTCCACCATGATTGACCATTTGCAAGGTCTCACTCTTCTCATCTTCACGGACCCAGACCTTGGCTTGTGTTGGAATGCCTTCTGGGCGTTCATGAGCCAAAGACACCATCAATGCACCATTCTTTGAGCTCCAATAGATCACACTTCGCAGGCTACAATCTGTGCACTTGGCATAGTGCCCCTCTTGATTGGCGCTCCAACGTAGTGACTCAAAAGCATGGGTGCACTGAGCCTGCCGTTCAGTGGGAATTGGAGCTGCCTTTGATGGCACCAGGCGTCCATTCTGGAGCTGAGCTGTGTACAGCTGCTGGCGGAAGACCTTCAACTCCTTGTCCTGACTGCTTTAGGAACATCTTCCTCCTTCTTCGGTGGTCGTGGTTCTGGAGTCACAGGCCCCTGACTTGAGGTGGTACTGGATGATGCCTGGGCCCTGGCGGCTTGCCTGGCTGCCACAGCTTCAGCACTCCAGTAAGGATCTTCTTCCCTGGGCTTCCGTTGATTGAAGAAGTCAGGATAGGAGAAACCCTGTGCCATCCAAGGGAGATATTCTTCAGCAAACTGCAAGTCCTTGTAGGCCTGTTTCTCTTCGTCCTCCTTCAGGGCCTTTTGGAGATTCTTCTTGTCTTCCGCAGTTCCTTAGAGTGCAGTTTGACGGACCCATGCCCCTTCACGCTGGCACTCGAAGACGGAGCTGCTGCTCCCATAGCTGTGTGCTTGGGCACCTCATAGGAAAAGGGCGACGGACATGGTGTAGGTTCCACAGCTTCCCAACTCTCTTCATCCATCTCCTTCTTGACTTCACTCTTCACTTCTTCTTTGACTCTCTTCCCACTGGGCATGCGGACGTCCATCAATTGCTCTTGACCGCACTGGCCACAGAAACGATTGGTCTCCGGAACAGGCCATCGACAGCAAGGACAATGCCCCGGGACAGGGGGTTCATCTTCATAGCCTCCACCTGTCATGAAGGTGAAGTGGACAGTCTGGGCCGGCTTCTTCACAGGGACGTGTGGTTGATCGCGGCCACTGAGAACATTCGGGCAGCAAGCATCTCCCTTCCAATGTCCCATCTTGCCGCAACTGGAACACGTGCTGCTCTTCTTCTTGATGTCCACGATGCGCGAGCCCTTGCCACCCGCTTTCTCTCCACCTCCATTGGGCTTCCACCCGCGATTCTTCCGAAACTCTGCTGTCTTCTGTTTGGCCTTCCAGCCAGCAGCAAAGATCTCTTTGAGCTCATCTTCATCATATTCATCACCATCATCCTCCTCCAGGGCGTCATCATCCTCCTCCTGGCCTTCACCTTCATCTTCATAGAGGATGTCCATGGCCTCATTTTCTTCGCCCTCATCGAGGTCTTCCTCCTGTGGCTCCGGAGGATCATCCGCATCCAGGACATGAGTGCCGTGGGCCTTCTTGACGATGACCTTCTTCTTGAAAAAGTGCTGGCCCTTAGGGCGTTGGTGGTATGTCTTCTCTTCTGTCTTGTAGCCACCACGCTTCTCGTCCTCATGGATGCGGCTGCAACGAACTCGAAGAGCCTTCTCAATCGCGGCGCTCTGGAAGCAAGCACCAGCGGCATAGAAGACATCATGCCGCTCACGTCTTGACAATGAAGCCCTTTGCAAAAGCCGCTGACCCGAGGCCATGTCCGAGATCTTGCTCTCTGGATCGACTCGACTGTATTGGGCTCTCAAGCGCTTCATCTCAGACAGGAAGTGGGCCACAGTCTCGCCAGGCTGGCGACGGCAACGCTCAAGCTCCTTGTCAACACGTTCGAACAACTCAGCATCACTCTCGCCGAAGGCCTCGTCAAGAACACGCCAAAGCAACTGAAGACCTCCGGGCTCAGTGTATGCATGAATCGGCTGCTGTTCCACAACATCACGAGCTTCCCGGCGAGTGGAAAGGTACACCAGCATGGCGAGTTCACTGCCTTCCAACGAATACAGATGCTGTTGTGCCTGAATGGTGCGTTTCCACTTCAGATACCGGCTTCGGTCCCCATAGAACTCCTCCACCTTGACAGAGCCAAGAGAGCTCTTAGGTCTATAGCCATCTTCCTGCTTGATTCTCCTCCTCAACAATGACTTGATTTCCGAAGTGGCAGCCGAGGAGTTACCATCATCCTCCTCTTCATGTTCTGAACCTCCTCCAGGTGGTGCAGGTTCCTTCTTCTTTGTTGGCGTCGGAACAGATGGCCTTGATCAAGATGCATCAGAAGTAGGAGGAGATGGTGACACCATCCCTGGCTGAGGCATCCATGGCATGTAACCAGGTGGTGCCATCATCATCCATGGATGTTGACCTCCATGTACACATGGACCTGCGTGGAAGGGCGCATACGCACCAGCCGGAACGCCACTTGGCATAAGACCTGGTGCTGTAGTCGGAGAAGTGCCTGGTGTCCCCAGTGGCATGGAAGGCATACCAGGCGGTGGTGCTGATGCCATCATGTTTGGACCATAGGTTGTAGGAATTCCCCATGGCGGAGGCATGAAGGGTAGATCATGGCCATTGACTTGCATCGGAGGTGATGAAGGATCACTTCCAGGTGGAGGTTCATCCACTTGAACAGCTTCTTCACCTCCCTTCTTCTGGCCTTTGCCTTTCCCCTTTCTTCTCTGGGCATCGGAGTCTAAAGAACTTCCAGCTTCGCGAACAGAACCCTTTTCTGCTCGCCCACCAGGCTCTTTCCCCTTTCCAGAGGGCCTCCAAGGATCACCACCCTTTTGCTGCCACGGGTCACCTGCATCCGGCGGCAGTGGAACAGCCGCAGCGTCAGCTGCGGTGGGCGCCGGCTCAGACGGCGCAGCTGCATCGCCATGGGCCCCAACAGCCATGGCTCTACCGAAGGGCGCTGGTTCGATGTGCAATCCCCCAAAACAACCCCTCAAGCTCCGCTACCAATGTGGATTATGGAGAGCGCCAATCTCCAGCAAACAAATGAGTGTGCAACCCCAAAAGAACAAAGGCGCAACAAGGTGTGGGTATGCGACCCAAAACACGGAAAAAGCGAAAGCAAGCAAGTCTTCTTCTGCTGCTGTGCGAACATCGATGCTCTGGTAAATTGCGGTAGCGGCGAAGTGACATGGAAAGCAAGCCAAGCACATGCTCGATCACACATTCAACGGCATCTTTGGCCCTGATTTCACCATATTTCACCAAAAGGCTGCTCGGTCACTACAGAGACAATCCATATTTGTATGAGATAGGCTTGCTATCACCTGACTCCAAGAAACTCCTGTTAGCGTAAATGCTTAGAGAAACTGAAGATTGACAAGGCCACTAGGATGCTAATGCTGGTGAAGCTTCAAAGTTCAAGAGTTTGGCACAAAATAATGGGGACCATGGGGGTTGATATGAGTACCTTACATCATCCATAACAAGTTTGTGCTTTTCACTTGGCAACACAATAGCAGGAATGTTTAGGTCATGTTTGATCGTTTTTTATGGTTCTTGTTTCTTATTGTGCTTCTTTGAAGCTCAATTTGGGGCCAAGGCATTGAGCGAGATCCTCCCATCGACACAGTCCTCGAGACTGGGATCGGCCCACGTTTGCTCGAGCTGTGTCAGGTGGACGAAAGTCCGCAATTGCAATTTGAGATCCTTGGCCTCAGCTACCCGAATGGGTGAAATATGTGGAAAATAGATGCGTGTCAGTGTTAGAATAGTAGGGAGACTCCAGGTTTTTGGTCCACTTTCCCTGTCCTAGCGGGGTCGTTAGGAAATCCCCTATTCTACTACACCACCAAATGAATCCAAATGACGTTTCGACGCCAAATCAAAGGCTTTTCCGCGAGACAATTGAGATAAAAAGGATCGAAAAGACCTCCGCCAAAGCTTGCTGCAGACCTTTGAGGACCTTGTGGGCTATTTGCAACATTGTCTCTGGCTCTCAAGATCAGACTACCGCTATGGTACAGCTTGACGCGGTGTCCATCATTACCAAGGTCTTGACGGAAAGCAAAAATTTCGACGTGTTGGAACAAGGACCGAAGCATGTAGTAACAAGAAACTACTAGGAACAAGTGCATCGCTTCTAGTAGCAAGTGCCTTACTAGTAGTAACAAGAAGCCTTAGTAAAATGTTTTTGCATGTGATTTGCTGTCATTCGATCTGCAACCATATGTGATCAATTCATATCAATTATATTTCAATTATCAATTCTAGAGTGGCTAAACCTAAATTCCATTTGAATCCCGAGAACATAAAGTAAATACTAAAGTAAATATACCGGCACAGATTTATAATGATTTACAGGTTTTGCTTATTTCAGACGCTCAGTTCCAAACTTTCATCTTGGCCTCAGGAGTTTGGGCACTTGGGAACATCGCCGGTGATTCCGTACCTCACCGCAACCATTGCTTCGATGCAGGTGCTTTACCTATCGTCCTCCAAATCCTGGACAGCACGACGAAGATCTCATGTGCACGCAATGCAGTTTGGACAGTGCTTTGGTTGCATTGCATGCAACTGTCAGAAGCTTTGGTCAGCCTGACTGCCCGTGTGTTGTCCGAACGAAATAAAAGATCGTTCGTTCTGTCGAGGTGTCCAACTTCTGCCGTGGCAAGCCAGCACCGGATTTGGTGGAGCTGATCCCAGTGATCCCAGTGATTGCTCGATACCTGCGAGAAAGCCAGGATCAAGAGGTTATTTGCGATGCATTGTGGCTTTCCGAAACCAAGGGCCGTTGTAAGACAAGGGGGCAGGGGGGCTATATGACACCTTATATATATTTATGAAGAACCCATCGTGCATGTTTGAAGTTTAGTTTGATCTATTTGCCGACTTCACATTTGGGATGATGTAGTCCAGTCACATTCACATATACTGTGATGATAAGGCACTTGCCCCTGGGCCTGAGGTGCTAGATGTTCAGTTCAGAAGTAGATTCATGTCAAGAATGAGTTCATTTGTTTATGTCGAGCTGTTTGCAGGTGGTGCATGTCATACATTTCGGACGGGCCAAATGCGAACATCCAAGCTGTCATCGATTCTGGAATTTGCAATCGCCTGGTGGAGTTGCTGGCGCATGTCATCTCGACTCGTTTATGCCCCAGTCATCCCATGTCTAATGCAAGCCATTCTGACGGTTAAAGGCGTCTATTGCACGAAGCAATGTATGCTCGTGTATGCTGGAGGTTGGAGCGATGATCCATCTTTGGACATAGGGCTTAACAAGTTAAACAAATAGTATTTTGTTGTTGTGCCGTGATGCACGAGATTGTACGTCGCTTCGAATGGTTTCTCTGGCAAAATGCTTCCGGGTACCACATTAGGCTGCAACTTTGGTCCAGACGCCTGCTCTACGCACCGTGGCGAACCTGGTGACTGGAGACGATGCGCAAACAGATGCAATCCTTGCGTGCAACCCCTACGACGCCATGTTGTCTTTGCAGCTTGGAGCTGTCAAGCTGAGTCAAGCTGCAACAGCGCTTTCGAAGCATTGAGACTCCTGCCTTGTCTCGTTCGTAGTTTTGCTCAGGCTGAAGAGTCAGAAGAACAAGATTCGCCAAGAATGTTGCTGGATGATTTCCAACATTTGTGCCGGGACGCTGTCGCAAATCCATCAGGCTCTGACAAGTGTCATATTTGTGGTTGGTTTTGTAGGGCTGTCATGGCTGGACAGGGTTCAGGTTCGGTCAGAGACACTTCGCTTGCGGTACTTTGCAATTTGGAAAGAGGATTTCCAAGATTGTGCATTCCTATTTGGGTGCTTCATCCGCAAGGAAGATTATGAATTATGAATATAATATATATATATATATGTACTGTAACTCACTCATTATCTAATATAGTTGTCATTCTCAAGTACTGTAGAATGTGGGGCCTGTTCACAACATACGGAAAGGCATTGAATATAGATAGATGCTTGAATTCATCCCATATCATTCTCCTTGAGGTAGTGAGCCATATGCACAAATATTGCGGTGTTGTTTTGACGACGTTGTCGCTAAACACTTGTTTTGTGAGTACTCAGTCCGCTCAGTTCGTAGCACTTGAAATCCGTTCGCAGTGGCAAGCTCGACAGTGTTGCTCTGCAAGGTCCACGACAAAGGGCTATTATCAGCATTGAACACTCTTGCCAAAGATACAGAGTTTTCCGTTCGGAAAGAGGCCGGCCGCAGGGACTTCTTTCTATTCTCCCATACTAAATTAAGTAGACACCTGCTTAGTTAAGTAGGGGAGAAGCTAGTAGCTTAAATAGCTACTACTCAGGACGCAGGATAGCTCACGCTTCTTCAAGGAAGCTGACCCCGCCTGACGGGGGCGGAGCTTCTATGAAGAAGCTTCCTGGAAGAAGCGCTCGCACTATTAGCGATTTCTGAGACTACAGGCCATTCTCAACTCCTTGCCGCATGCTGGTCCAAGCTAGGAAATTCATGAAGACTTTCTTGTGCATTGCAAGAACTTAGTGGACAGTGCTTCAGCAATGTCTTACTGTAGCAAGCAGTTGCCGGAGATACTGGGTACCTGGGTTAAGTCGTCTGGTCTTGTAGAAAGTCGTTTCGATGCTGCGTGTCCATGTGGGTTAGATGCAAGGTGCCAATATAACTGGTCAACAAAATTGTTTGGATGCTGCGTGTCCATGCAGCCGGGTGGCTCTTTGCAAACCCGGGTGACTAAACCCAGGTAACTAAACCCCGGCGCTTGTATGGGGAAGAAATCTGTTGCAAAGCTTGCTGTCGTCTTCCCAGGTGTTGTCTATGATGTCTACTTGCTTTGTTCTTTTCGTTCGTAGGTTCCAGTTCTTGTCTTGCTGGCTGTTGCTGGCTGAGGTTTTAGGGATTACGACAGGACATAGGCGTGCTTGGTCAGTCTAGTCAATATCCGGGATTGGAATTGCTTTTGGAAAAGCTTGGTCAAGGCGAATGAAAGTGATGAGTGGTAGTAATCAAGTAGGCAGGGAGTGGTCGCGGGATCAAGGGTTTGAAGATGCAGTTCTCTCAAACACTAGCATACACTCACCATCACTCACCCAAAAATTATAGCATGCTGGACATGGAAAGCAACACCACACTCACCAAAGCGGGATAAGCTTCGGCCCACACATTAAAAGCAAAATGATCGTCATTCCTTCGACTACTTGACAATTACTAGATATGACTAGTTACTGTATACCTTAGAAATCCTACGACTATTGGGTGCAATTTGTCCCGGAACAGCGGTTGAGAATTTGGTGTGAGCGCAGATTGTTGACTGGCTTGAGGTGATTTCAGAGGCTCATTTTAGGGCAATTTTGTTTAAGAATGTCCTGAGAACTTTGGCCGCATATGATTTGAACGCGCTGCAGGTTGCATTCGCTTTTTCAAATGCCAGCGAGAAAGAAGAGATGGCTCGAACCTTGATTGAGTCGGGGTCTATGCAAGCTATTCAGGACCCAGCATGTTGCTCGACCATGTCACTGTAACAGCAACAAACATCCCTGAGAGTTGAACGTGCTTGTAACCTCAAGGAGCTGAGCATATGTCCGAGCACAGTGGGCCAGCATGCTTCACAGTAATAATATGGCCAGCACCGCACATGCTTGCAGTCTAGGAGATGATGAGAACACAACATGATGAGAGAATTCAGAACTTGTGCATCACTTTCATCACCAATGTGTCTTGGTTGGCACTTCCTGCAAATTACTGTCCACTGTTCCCACAGTTTTCGCATCTTTGCACCTTTTTCTTCAGTCACTCGCTGTGTTCATTAACTCGGCATCAGTTTGGCCCAAAGAAGCCCTGGGTGTCCCTCTTTTAAGCTCCCTTGTGTCATTTCTTTCTTGTGCTCCCAAGCTCTTGGCACCTCTCTACGGTGCGAGCTCCGATGCTTTCCGACGCTCTGAACCCATGTCAGGTTTGGAAGGCGCTGATGGCTGACGGCTGGAAGACTGATAAACATCTGGTGGTGACGTGGATGGAGGACGTGGAGGAGCTCATCCAGAATTGCCACAATGAAGGGATCCGGAACAATGCCAAGCTGGTGCTGATGCCTGATTGAGGGAGAGGATGGAAAAGGAATGGAAAGGATGGGAGAGTGGGTGGAGCCTGTGAAGTTGGGCTTCTTTGGCCCGGCCTCCACGGAAGCAAGCAATAAGCAAGCCTGAGTGAAATGTCAGTTCACATATCAAGACCACTTGGGTTTGTTTGCTTGAACTGGCCTACAGGAGATGTGTTTTCGTGTTGGGTATATAGTAGGACTAGGACACACTGAGACTGAGAAATGAGCTCCGGTCAAAGGAATCAAATGAGCGAAGCAATTGATGTTCCAGAAGAAGGGCCAGTCGAACTTGGAGGATCCGGATATGCTGCTCCTTGATCCAAGTGTCCGAGCTCACCGTGCCAGCTATGGATTCCAAGTGGGCACTTCGGCTTTGTTTCTTGTGTATGTTTGCAGGCTGAGCAGCTAAGACCAGATCCCAAAGTAAACAAATCGTAGAAAAGTGGTGCAACCTGCCAGCACTCGCCTAGGTCAGAATAGCATTCCTGAGGCAGGTGCTGCCCTAGATACACCAGGAGGGGTGTCATGAGTGCGTGAAATACGCACGCCAGAAAGGTACTGTATCACTGTATCACAAATTATCATACTCTCAAAGGAGTAGATCACGGCGTACGAAGTCCGCGCTCCTATTTCTGCACAAACGAGGGGGGGTTGTGTCGTATCCTGTCCAGCTCAAGGGCCCTAGAAATGGCCGCAAAGAGTAAATGCCTGAACAAAGCTTGCAAATGATGCATGCGAAAGCAAACAGCAAGACGGGCAAAAGCTCTTAAATGATGAGCACCCATCAAAATGGAAAATGCGTTGCAAGCTTTCTACCAATCAGACACGGCTTTCATAGGTACTGACAAATCGCCAAGCACCATGTTGCTCTGGTTTGAGCTGCAAAGTTCTGTTTTGTGCCAGGTCGTAAGTGATTCCGGTCTGTTGGCTCTTGTCGGTGAGTGTTCCCTGTTCGAACTTCCTCTTGGCTTCCATGTGAGGGTCGACGGATTCCTTTTCTCGCAAGGCATTCTCTTCAAATGCCTCCAGGGATGCTCGCAACACCGCTAGTTGCTGATCCTTTTGGCGCACTCCCATGTGGATTTCAAGCACCAGAAGGAAATGGGAGTTCAAAAAACGGTGCCACTGTTTCACCTTCTTGTCACTCACACTCTCGCTCTCGGATCCCAGCATCAGCTTGAGATATTCACGTCTTCGGACTTCAGGCTGAAGATGCTGGATGACATGGGACCTCATGCTCATGGGCACGTTCTCTGACCAGAGTTGGCGATGGATTTCTCGCCACTCAGACTGCCCTTCTTCTTGGAAGACGGCATCATAGAGCGTGCGCCATCTCCTCTTTTCAGTCTCCGTGCATTCGGACATTTCCTCGTCATTCTCGGGAATCTCGAGGTTCTCAAAGACTGGGTCATTCGCCATCGTGCCATGGCGCGTTTCAGAGTCATTCTCTTCAATGAGCACATCCTCAGTCAAGTTGACATTCGTTGACTCAAAGAACTCACGCACCTTATTGGCAATCATGTAGATCACATTCTTCATCGCCCACACTGAACCGACCAAGCCAATCAACGAAAACACGAACAGCACGAGCATGGTGTTGAGCAGCGGATCACTTTCGACCGTTCCTTCCATGGCCTCTGCTCCTGGAACGTGTTCAGCAGCCAGCAGCGCAATTGCACATGTTGCAGCTTTCCTCCATTCATCACCGCCACGGCCAGTCCGGAACTGATGCAGGTAGTAGTGGCGTCTACTGCAATAGACATGATGAGCTGCTGTACCACTTTTCTCCTTCATACATCCGGGCAGGCGGCACAGGTTCTTCATCTCCTTCTCCTTGATGTCCTCCGCAACGAATGCCTGGCCGTCGAACAGAGCTTCAGCAGCACGTTCATATTCCTGCTCCTCTTTCTGCCTGTCGTCATAGGTCACCTTCTTGGCAGCCGTGAACTTGGGGTCGTGCTTCAGGGCATGAACTCCACGAGACAGCATGTACGCCAAGTCATCCTTGGCACTCGGCTTCGTCAGCCCATCTGCCAATTGCTGTCGTGAATTGACCCACTTCACCTTGCACTTGGCGGCTGCCATCCTCTCACGGAGGATGCTGATCTCGATGGCTGTCCTCCTCTCTGACAACTTCAAGCCAGGGGTGACCGAAATTGTGCTGTCGAACAACGCCTTGGCATCTGTGATCACCGGAGACTCACCAAAGGTGTGCATGGTGGAATCCTCATGGATCGGCAGGTATGGGTTCGCCGTCGTGGCATAGAAGACCTTGGCCCATTCCAACTCATCGACTGCAATGGCCGCTGACTGAGCTTCAGCTGAAAGAGAACTGCGGCACATCCTTACCAATTTCTTGCTCGCCCAGTCGAAGATGGTCAGAGGAAAGGGCTCGTCGCTCTCCATCTCCTCATGGCTGGCGAGAAACATGATCATGCCACCTTGGGAAGAGCCATCTGGTCGAACCGACCAAGCTGCATCACAGTACAGGCCAATCCTGAGGTTCTCCAGGTCACAATGTCGCCTCAGCGTGAAGACATAGCTCTTGACCACCTCCTTCATGAATCGCAAGCATTTGTTTGCCTCCAGAAGGTCACGAATCATCGGACGGTTCACACTGGCCTGGAGTATGCTCAAAGTGGCAGCTGCCTGTGGGATGCACTGTGTCACCGGCCATGCCATAGCTCCAATGAGAGCTCGAAGGTGCTTCTGTTCCTTCTCAGTGCAGTAGTCCTCAACCATAGTTTTTCTTGACTTCTCCAGTGAAATCGGCTTGATCTTGTTCACATACTCCTGGAGAGACACGGTGAGGACCTCATAGTCAGCAGATTGCTTGATCTCCGCTCCACAGAATCGCATCTTCTCTCCAAAATCCCATGAACCGAACTTGAATCGCTTGGAGAGATGAAAAAGGCGATTTTGGAAGCAGCTGCACTCACCTTGAGGATCCATTTGCAGGTCCCGAAGACAATGGATGTTCTCGCCTGCGCCAAGAAAGTCATCGACGTGCAGTCCAAGCAGGCCATCGACAATCCACTTCTGTTCGTCCTTCTCGAAGACCAGAAACTCAGCGTCCTCGGCAGTGGCCGACCTGAGCGACAAGTAGACACATCGATCCAAGGGATGACTCATCAGGTAGAGCTCTCGGGTCAGATAGCTGTCGGCCGAATCGAACCACTGTCTTGGTCCACGGACGTCACCAAAGGCCGGTTGGTGGCCTTCAAGATCTCATCTTCTTTCAAGCCCATCAGGCGTTCCAGTCTTCTCCGCATCTCTGCGGGAGGTCTGACGTAGATGCAGTTGTCCTCGTCGATAGAATTCGACTGCATAAATGCTGACTTCACATCGGCACACCAGAGCTTCCAACGGCGATGCACCCCCCAGGTCATGATCACCATCCTGCCCATGCGACTCAGGGTCGGGGATTCCTTGAGCAGATTCTCATTGAGCACGTCTCGATGCTTGAACCCCTGGATGATGACCCTGGCGTTCGCTTTGTGGTTGCCGTCACCAATTGGCTTCCAGCGCTGGAGAAATCTTGCAGGCACCACTTCATCCATCTTGGCCTCACTCTCAGGCACAGCGCGCCAGGCAGCATTCTCGATCCAGACCATCAGTGCAGCATCTTTGGCTTCATCAAAAGCCTTCTTCTCTTCGGCTGTGAGGTTCTTTTCACTGAATGCTTCAGCCATCAGCTCCTCGTCGGGCTCCAGAGGACTCGTAGCTTCGAGGAAGCGATGAAATGCAGGATCATCTTGCTGCACAGTAGGTAGACCATCGAGCTGGCGAGACATGTTGTACGATTGGAAGGCCAAAGCTCGATCATCTCGTGTCATAGGACTTCTGGATCGAACTGCATCAATCCTGCTGTTGGATGCCTCATCTGTGGTCTTCTCGACCTTGTGGGGCCTCTCTCCATCATCCACATTGGCTTTTCCTCTCTTTCTGCTTTCGTTCATCTCTTCATCCGCGTCGACATTCTCATTGGCTGTTGCTTCTGTAGCTGCGGCTGTCTGTCCTGCAGCGGCGGCGTGTTGTTCTGCAGCGGCGGCATGTGGTCCAATGTGACCTGGCTGTTGCTGTGGTTCACACGGTTGCTGCTGCTCGTTCTCGTCTGCGGGGGCTTCCAGTGCTTGTTGCACTGTGTTCTCTGTTTGTGTGGTTGGTTCCTCTTGTGCTTGTGCTGAACTGTTCGGCTCCGTTGCATGAGCAAAAGGTGGGTCCCCAGAGAGGTCAAGAAAACGAATGGGGCCACGTACAGGGCGCAAAGCAGCACGAACCGTGGTTTCGACATCAGCCACACGAGCGGTCTGTGGCATGTGCTGCAAGCGGGCCTGATACTCCCGTGGGGTTTCAGCGCGAACATGTTCAGGAGCAGCTCGAACCAAAGCATTGCCATGCGCAGTCCAGTAAACGAAAGGGCGAGGGCCAGCATGAGAATCATCACCACGAGGCTGCATCGAGCAGATCAAACCCGGTCCACGCCAGCGACTGAGCTCCAGCTTGGGGTCGCTGCTGCGCCAATAGTACACCCAATCACCAGGAAAGAAGGTGACATTCTCAGCACGGCTTTTGCTAAGCAAAGCTTTGCGCAAATTCTGGCTGTAGTTGGCCTCATAGAACGCTTTGGCGGCACTCAGTCGCAGCTGTTGTAGTTCTTGATGTTCCCGTGAGGGTTCAGCCGAGTTGCTCATGGGTTCATCCATAAGTCCGGCTTCATCGACTTGGCGGCCAAAGACGATCTGTGCTGGTGAACTTCCGTGAACTGAACGAAGACGATTTCGAAGAGCGCAGGCAATGGGCACAATGTCTTCCAACTTGGCCTCCGGCTTTTCTTGTTTCATCTTCAAGAGCTGCATCCGCCTGACAGCATGTAGGCGTTCGACAGTTCCCATACGATAGTGAGCCTCACGAGGGATGATCTCCACCTTGATGTTGTTGTCATCCATGTACTTCAAGTAGGCATCACTCATATGGGCTCCAGAGGCGTCAGTTCGCAGGTGCTTTGGCGGTCCGAACACCGATATCCATGAGGATAGCACCTGTAGCTCAGCTTTCTCCGTCTCACTGTCGATCACCATATTCATTTCATACCTGGAGAAGAGGTCGATGATGGCGAGAACACGTTTCTTTTCATCATTCCACTTGATGTGGAAGGTGTCAACCTCCAGCAGCTGATTGAAGTAGTTCGCGTGTGGGAGAGCTGTCAGTTTTACTGGCTTTTGAGCTCTGAAGTGCTGGCAGATGTCACACTTGTAGATCTTGGCTTGCTCAATCACGGACTCATCGAATCCTCCTTCTCGCAAGGCTGTCACCAGCCTGTCTCGTCCCGGATGTCCTAGCTGACGATGTAGTTTTTCCACAATGGACTTTGCAACGTGCTTGTGCGTCTTGGACATCTCAACTTCTTCCGAAGTGATCTTCCTGTTCTTCTCCTGGAAGTCAGTCATCTCTTCAGCCACCATGATTTGCGTGATCTCCTTCTTGATCCACGAGCGGTCCATGGCCGCATAGATGGCCTTGCCTGCACGCTTCACGAAGCCAGGCTCGTAGTTCTGCATGGATCTGAGGGCGTGCGTCCGCCCCTCCATTGGCACATGTTGGCTGGTGCAAGTACAAGGCAAGTGCAAAGCCTCCGCAACCTCCTTGGATGTCGTTCGAATCCTGGTCTGCTTTCTCACGGGGCCTTCCACATCTGGTCCAGAATAACATAGACCAGTCTGACATCGGTTGCAGATCCCTTCATAGAAGCCTTTCATGCTTGCCAG